TTGTCTCCCGCTGAGGCCCGTTGATCGCTTGAGGTGTTGGTACAGCCCCCGCATGTCGCGGTCCTGGTAAATCGCTTCGAGCTCCGTCACGTACCCTTCCAGGTGGTCGTAGACGCTCGTTGCGATTGTTGCCTTCACCCCCTTGCACGCTGCTTTGAGGATCCTCCACGTTGCTGCGTTCGGTCTGGCCTTGAAGGCATGCCGCGCCGCCCGTCTGTACAACAACAATAATGGTGCATGGTACACAACAAGCTCGGGGCATGCAGCTGCTGTCAGAATGAGTCTGTGGACATACAATGAAGAAATACACCCAACCAAAGCCATCATTGCAATTGACAACCACCCGAATGTATCCAGATCATCTGTGTTAGGCAAAGGAGTGTAAACATCGACACTGACTAGGAATCGTTCCACAGTGAGACCACTGTTTATGGCAAAAAAAACTTGATCTTCCTTTCTTTCGACAAATGTTGACTTCTTCGACCTTTTCGGCAGTCTTCCTCCCGAACGAGTTCGAATCAGCTGTTCGACCTTTGAGAACAGTCACAGCTTTGGCTGAGATGTCTACAGATCGCCTACATGTTTCGCCAGGGTCCACGTTTGATTTTTTCAAGGTGCGCAATTTTCACGCAAGATTTTTCCAACACCAGCTTTTGGACAGATCTTGGCCCAAGATTTGCTCCGAGGTGGCCTTTCGGCCGAATCTTCAACATCTTGCTCTGCTGGAAAAAAATCAAACGTGAACCCTGGCGAAACATGTAGGCGATCTGTAGACATCTCAGCCAAAGCTGTGACTGTTCTCAGAGGTCGAACAGCTGATTCGCACTCGTTCGGGAGGCAGACTGCCCAAAAGGTCGAAAAGCCAACATTTGTCGAATTAAAGGAAGATCAAGATTTGGAAACCATAAACAGTGGTCTGAAGAGAGGGGTCTTCCACGATGCAGGTACACAATTAAAAGCACCTGGGTTATCCGCGCCATCTCTGCCGCGTCTCTCTACAAAACCAGTGACGTCGTCACACACACCCAACACATGTATTCAGGAAAAAAACGGAAAATAATTGACAAGACATGTTTGTCCGTGCGCCACGGTTCGATGCCGTCCGCATGCTCCGGTTCCGCTGCTCCGGTTCCGCTGCTCCGGTGCTGCTGTGGCCAGTCCTAGCACGACCAAACTCGACCCGCTCCGCTTCGTACACGCTCTCGTTGCTGTCCATCCCAGTCGGTTCCTCGCTTTCTCCCTCGTTGCACTTAGGGTCCTTGGTCTAAAAATTCTCGCGCCGAAGGGTCAACCAGCCCAATCAGCTCGTCACCAACCTGTCCCCTCCTCCTTTGATGGCAAAACCAGGTTACTGAGACAGTACAGCTCCCTCTAGCAAACCTAGGGCCGTGTACATAGTGCCCGTCCACCTTTCTGATGACGTCTGCCTCCGCGCACAAGGATGAGATGGGCATTGCTGCCTACACCGACGGCCTGGAGGCCCGCGCATCTGCACGTTTCTTTGTACCTGACGCACCAGTGCCGACCCAACTCCACCACTACGCACGCCTCGCGGCGGGTGCGCCGCAGCAAGAAGGTATCGGTCCCTTGAGAGTGAGTCTAGCCCTGCTCGCTAGAAAGCCCCCCCCCCCTCGCTATGGGTCATGTCTACGCGAAACCTTGCCGAGGCAGCGAGGGGAAGAAAGGAGGTCATAGGATTTCCATAGGCGACTCCCAAACGACCCAAAACCCCATCCCGACACCTGGGCGACACAGCCAGGGACCATACACAGCACGGGCATCGATTTTTTCCCACTTTCAGGCACACCTTTGGCCCTAATACCGCCGAGGCGCGCAAGGCCTCGCCAGAGTGCCCACTTCTGTCCGGCATCGCGATGGGTATACCCAGCGGCGTCAACTAATTTTGTCTACCCACTTGTTGTGTCCATATTTTGACCCACTTTTGTCCAAATGTACCCACTTTTGTCCGCTTTACGGACAGCGGAAATCGAGCTGAAATCGACCTCCACGTCGCCGCACGGCAGGGCCTTTTTCTGTGTCAGATGGCCTTTTCTCTGCTTGCGTTGTGAAGTACCAAGATTGAACCAAGGGGGTGTACCTCATTTTCTCCGGCCCGTGATGGTGACCCCTAGTCTCAGTTGTTACCTCGCATAGCGCGCAGAGGGAGTGGAGGACTCCAGAATATCTGTCGTTGATTTCTATTGACTTGCGGACCCCTCTGGGCCATTATATTTGAGTGTACCTTTTTAGGGTATGTTAGCCTGCGACCACGGGAATCGACCGCGTCGAGTGTTGTATCAGTACGGACATACGAAGGTACTGGGTAGAGAGAGATCGGAACGGTTTTTAATGTGAAGACAACAACAACAACAACAACAACAACAACAACAGCAACATCAACAGCAACAACAACAACAACAACAACGGCAGAACATCGAATAGCCTCGGAGCGTATCAGAACCTCTCAGCACCGTATCCATGGCATCTTTCCTATCCATGGCTGCCGACAGCGGACCGACCACGGGATATCGGGTCGGATTTTCACTTCGTATATACAACATGTAGTGCACACGAGTACCCTCAACATCACGTTGTTGCGTGATAAAACTGCCTCGACCTGCTGCTGCTGCTGCTACCCTCACGAGTCGCTGTGCAATCGTAGTAGTGGTTGGTGTTTTGTTGTGTGTGTGGCGCGTGTGAGTGTCTTTTTATTATTAGCATCGACCGCGCTAACCGGCTGACCAATGAAAAGACGTCAGTCTTNCCCCACGGAGCCCCCAAAGTACACCACGACACCCCCTCAACCCCTCCCTTCTACACGTATATGCCTTTAGAACATCAGTTAAACCGTTGTCAATCCATATTTTCATTATTTACACGTTACATATGTACATACATACAATACCGCCGTTTACTTTCTACTCAACCCCTGGCTGGTGAAGGTGCTGCAAACNTGGAAAGTGAAACAACTTTGGGCGTGACCGCGGCGTCGAGCTTCGTCGATATCCGATGAGTTTTTGGTGATTGGGTGAAATGCGACATTTTTGACCAAAATGACCCACGGAGCCCCTACCCCCCACCCCCTCATGACCCCACGGAGCCCCCAAAGTACACCACGACACCCCCTCAACCCCTCCCTTCTACACGTATATGCCTTTAGAACATCAGTTAAACCGTTGTCAATCCATATTTTCATTATTTACACGTTACATATGTACATACATACAATACCGCCGTTTACTTTCTACTCAACCCCTGGCTGGTGAAGGTGCTGCAAACAAAGCATGCAGCAATCACATCCGTTCTCTCTAAGCAAGTCCGATACCAAGAGAGACAGCTATAGCGTTGAGTTGGTGACCATGACGAACGCCTCTACCGCGCCTAAACGCGAGAAACCAACACTACAACACACCGCGACATATAGATACGTACCCTCCCCACTCACGCCTGAGCGTGCCCGCCCAACCATTTCCTCAAAAAATTCATCGTGTTGCGCAAAATCCACAGCCGTAGCTGCTCCTTCCGGGAGGCTCTCTTGCTCGTCCACGTGTTGAAGGCTTCCCTGGTCGCTGCCATCGACTTCTTGCGCACTTCCTGCGCAGCCGCAAGCGCCTTCGCCTCGGCTGCCTTCTTCTGCTCCGGCGTCTTCCCCGCCCCCCTCGCCTGAATCACGGCATCTCCCCTGGCGGTGGCTTCTCGGTGCTTCCCCCACTCCTTGAGATCGCGGTACTCGAGGTAGTCCTCCAGGCCCTCGTCGTAGGCTTCGATG